AAGTGTTTATATAAATAATTCAATACAAAAATAGAAATCAACAACCGAAAAGACATAACGAATTTAATAATGTAATAGATCTCATCTAACTAATATGTATATATAAATATCTTGCAATTATTTTAATATGAGGATTTTTAGCGGATAAACTGCTTGAAATAAATTTATTTTAAAATCAAAAAGTGTCGAGTCTTAATGTTGCATTTGACCAGAAATTTGATAACGACTAGACGATTTAATCCATGCAAATTAGAATACACAAACATTTTATTCTTAATAAAGATATCTAAATTGTGAAAATCACACAAATTATTTTTTTAAGTATATTACAAATACTATCACAGAATTACATAGTCACATATTACTTATCATTAGTGTTGTGTACTATAATAACTAAAAATCAACCTTAAGGGAGTCGCAAAATGTTTAAAATAATAGTCATAATAAAATAAATTATTTTAAGGGATTTGTTGTAATCGATAAACTAGCTTTTAAAAAACTAACGATTAGTATATTTTATAATAATATATTTATTGTTATTAGTGGACACAATGACTCATATGGTCGGATCATATGCACCAAAAACTGAGATGCAGTCGTACACAACTCCTGCAGAGGACGCTCCTTCAGGAATGATGGCACGGGGAAATTACACAGTTCAATCGTTGTTTACAGACGACGATAAAAACAAACATCTGAAATGGGAATGGTCTTTTGAAATCAAAAAGGACTGGAACTGAGAAAAGCACTTTTCTACCTCTTTTATAAGGTAACTTTAAAGAAAGAATATTTTCCTTTAATAGAAATGAATATACAAAAATAGCAATTTTATTTTACTTAAAGTTTAATGTAATAGGTTGTTATTAAAATTAATTTATGAAACTATAATGAACTATCACATCATAACCAAGAAGTTACTCATAAAATAAATCACTATCATAAAAATTTTTATCAGAATAATTGACTCATATATATGTATGTATTGAAATTTAACAATTTTTTTTTTAAAATTTAAGCGCTTTTTCACTTTCTAATTTCAATTTTAAACGATTTAATTTTTTAAGCAACTTTTCATTGTTGCTTTTTATTGTTAAAGCTACAAATATTACCTCAAAAGTTTAGAAAACAGTTACAGATAGATATTCTTCAAATGAAAACAGAAACTGCTACCTTTATTTTCATATCTTTATGGTAGTTGTCTATTTTTCTGTTTACAGAACATACTTTATCTCTACTCAATATCACGAAAAGATAATCAAGTATTGAAAAGTATATTATTTGTGTACCAAATTCTATACTTTCGTGATGCTAATTATATGGTGCAATTAAGATGATAAAAGGAAGAAATCAGTAAACTTGGTATTTTTTTGTTATGTAATTAATGATTTAAGTTTTCATTCGTCTAAGTCAAAAGTGTACCAGTGCATTAATTTTATTGTTGAGATAATAGATAAATACATTTTGCATTTTGCCTTTGAAGCTATTTTGGTAAAGTACTATATTGATAATTTTAATTTTACGCTGCCCTGTAATTTTAATAGACAATATGTAATTGTAAAATAGTTTACAATTATTGTAAAAACGAGTGCAGGATTGTGTTGTATGTACGTACTGTTTACCAAATAAAGTGCTTTTCTAAAATAGTGATGGATATTCAGAGCTTAATATTTTTCATTAATTTGGCTTGCGTACCTACTACATCAAGCAGACAGATACCTTCGTAAGGCTCTTGTCAAACATGTGAAATACTACAGTTAGCAGTAAATATAAATAGATAGCGGTATTGCTTGTACCTTGACATTCAATGTAGTTCTTATTTAATTATTCTTAAAGTACACTTTCATAAATTTCTTTCCATTACACGCTAAGTATTTTATAAAAACTATAAAGAAAGGCTACAAATAAGAGAATATGTTTTCTTTTCTTGAGTAATGTCAAAGGAATAAAAAATATCACCTTTACAAATTATTTTCACATTTAGCTTATAAACTTTAAGTTTTGAGTTAAATTTTATTTTCATTTCTTTTCAAGCAGTTAAATGTAATATAAGGTATATATTTTAGCGTAGTTAGTATTTGTTTTAAGAGAATTATTTTGTGTTTTCAACGTTCTAAGAAGTCCTTTTCAATATTAGTACAATTAAACAATGAGAGATAGCTCAAATATCTCGAAAGTTTAAAGCTCATCTCTAAATCTTAGAAAGTAAGTTAGTGCTACCGACACTTTTTATTTCCAAAACATTGTAGACCGGATGTTGTACCGGTTTACGAAGAAAGAATTATATTTTATTTTTACAATTAATCTTTCACTTCTAATTTATTCCAAATAATAAAATTGGCTATTGTAGATTTATTGAAATATTTTTTTAATACGATAGACGTTGCCCAGTGAACATTCAATTACTACGATTATTAGTGGACTCTATTTGATTTGTGTAAATGAAATCGTAAGTTTTAATAAAAATATGTTGGAAATACAAAAGCAGCTAAAATGAAATGCGAGATGTTTAGATCTATTTAGAAATTAACATGATTCAATTATCTTTAGGTCCATATGAAACACTCGGTTATAAAGTTGAAATGTATTACTTTAAATGTAAAGCAGTACAACTTTCAGTATAACATTTGAAATGAAACCCATTAACGCTTTTAAAATGGAAAAACAATAAAAAAACATATATTATGTTGTAATCCACTAATAGTAAGAATAAAAAAGCGTTCTTTTATGTTCCTTGGGGTTTTG